TGTGTTAGGTGAGGTTGGTGAAGGGCGACAGTGGTGGAGGTGGGGGTGGGTGGCTAGTGTGTAGGTTGGTGGGGAAGTGGGGACGAGGTGGGTGGGTGGGAAGTGGGGCGGCTTGTAGGTGGGTTGGTGAGGGAAGTGAAGTGGTTTGTGGGGAAGTGAGAGCGATGGGTGGGTGGAACATGGGGTGGCGTTGGAGTGAGTACGGAGAGAATGGACGTGGTGGGTGGGTGTTCCCTTTATGTACTCTGGTGGTAGCGTCACCGCCCACTCCCAGCCTTGGCTTTGTTTACTGAATTGGTTATCATCATGTGGGAGGTGGAGGTTCTTTGACGGCTGTGTAGGATGTGTCTGTCTGTCTGTTTGTCTGTGTCTGTCTGCCGAGAAAAATACAGAGTGACAGATATAAAAAAAAATAAAGAATACTACTGAAAATCAAAAGGTGTTTCGATTTAAAACTTCCAAAATTTTGTCTTTTCTCTCTCCTTCCTCCCTCTCTCCCAAAAGTCTGGAATTAGAAAGTATAAAAGTAAACAGAACATGCAGTCAACTGTCTGCTGGCCGGGAGCCTCTGTTTACAATATTATAATGTGTGGTGCACCAACAGTCAACACACGGCCGTAACACTTGTAAAAATATGACCGAGAGAGAACTACAGCTTTTTTTTATTATTTTTTGGAACTTATACAAAGGTTTTTTTTCCCCCTAACTTCCCGACCAAATAATTTTCCTCATTATTCACACTTGGATGCCAGGAAAAGTTTGACCAGAAACTTTGAAATAATAAATGAGTTTTGTCTTAACTTATAATAAATAGCTTTAATATTTCCCCTTGTGTTCTAGACATGCAAGTCGTAGGGGTATACAGTATACCTAACCTAACCTAGAATGGCAGGCCGTAGGGGTACAGTGAAACCTCCATATAACGGACTTTGATCTATATAATCCGTTAGATGGAGGATTTCACATCTATCTCGATATAACGGAAACTCCTCCCCATTTAGTCCCTTAAATAGAGCTCTCACTAACGGGAACACCATAGCTGTCCCCTGAATAAACCAACTGTATAACGTACTCTCAAGGAGTACTTCAAGATAACCTGGACAACTTGCCAATATCCCAGACTAAGCATCCCCCCCCCACCCCCCTACAACACCGTCCGCAAATCGATTAACATCCATCAAGTTTCCAATTACTGCTGACTAGACAGAATCACAAAGTCAAAAGATACATGCTAATAATTTCACTCTTGCCTGGTGTATCGAACTCGTGACCTTTCACTTGCGAGACGAGTGTACTGACCATTATGCCATAGTATCACTGTTTGATACGTTCACCACAGGTATAATTGTGTTATATTATACTTCCTGAATTGCGTATCATTGCATATAATTGATCTCGAATACAAAATATGGATATAATATACAGTATAATTACTCCCATCAAAAACAAAAATTATACAACTTTTATTTATGTTTCCTATAATTATCTCTATATAAGTGAGTAATATCCTTCCAATCTATACAAATAATCCCGACCAATCAGAAACAAGATAATATTAAAAAAAAAAATATCATTGGTTTATATATATATATTTCTGATACCCTGATGAATATTTCTATAAAGGAGTGAACGTGGAGGCGCCAGCTGGGTTATAGAGAATGCTGATTGCTGGGGTCATAGAAATTGTGTGTCGTTTGGCTCCCTATAGCAGTGAGAGGGAGTGTGGCTGGAGGTGCAGGTAGACCAGGTTAATTAGTGAGTGTTGAAGGGGAGAAATATGTAATATCTCTGTGTGGATGGATATTAATAGTGATAATAATGATAATAATAATAATAACGATAATAATAATAATAATAATAATAATAATAATAATAATAATAATAATAATAATAATAATAATAATAATAATAATAATAATGATTTTCTCTACGTTAATATTTTTAGACAATTTACCGAATTCATTTATAATTAATTTGTCCTTTTTTTCATATTTCATTAAAAAATATATTGAGGAATTATGGTTCACTTAACACTGTTGAAGACAAAATAAAAACGATGATTATTTTAAAAGATAAAAAAAAAGAAAAAGAAAATGTAAAAAAAATCTCTTAATATAAAAATGTAAAACTTGATCGAGTTCATTAAGACGAAAAAAATCGTAAATAAGAGACTTGAGTTTTGAAATAATGAAGGATGAATTATAAGGCTCCAATAGCTCGTGAATTAAGTGGTATATAATGATTTTTGTGTAATATAATGAGTAGGTATTTCTCTCTCTCTCTCTCTATCTCCTCCTCTCTTTGTCTCTGCGTTTCTCTTTGTCTGTCTCTCCCTCTCTTTATATATATATATATATCTCTCTCTCTTTCTGTCTCTTTCTGTTTCTTCTCTCTCTCCTCCCCTTCTCTCTTTCTCTCTGTATCTCTTCGTTCTCCCTCTTCTCTCTTTCGGTTTCTTCTTCTCCTCTCCCCCCTCTCTTTCTCTATCTCTTCTGTTCCCCCCGTCTCTCTCTCTCCATATATATATTCAAGCCGATAGAATTAAGGTATAGATGTCAGAGAGAATGTTGAAAGTCAGTCAAAATAGCTAAGGCTTTGAGGTGAAGGAAAGGGGGAGTGAAAAGGAAAGATAAAAAAAAATGTTGTTGAATTCGCATGCGTAGGTGAGGGGGTGGTGGTGGTGGTAATGGCGGCGGTGGTAGCCTGGACTTCCCTCTCTGATATATGCAGGTGAAACGCGAGTCGATGTCAGCAGATGTAGCTAGTAGAGCGAGGCTAAGCTGAAAGGAATTTTTGAGCGTTAAATGTGGGGTTTAGAGAGAGAGACGACACGACACGACACGACACGACACGACACGACACGACACAGGGCAGAAGATAGGGTAGATAGTTAGGATGAGTCTCTTTGGATTAAGGAAAGCGATGAACTAAGTGCGTAAAGGTGGATAAGAGGAAGAAGGAAAGGAAGCAAAGGATAACGACACTAAAAAAAGAGGCATGCAGGAGAGTTTGATTAATAAAGAGGGAAGGAGGAAACACTAAATTAGGAGGTGGAAGAGCTCGATAAATCAAGGACGTAGAGAGATATAGGATAAACGTAGAAACAGATCCCCCAAACGAAAGGATGGAGGGAGTGAGAATGAACTTTGCTTGAGTGCGTCTTGTATAGTAGACGATCACACTCACTCACTCACTCACTTAGCTGTGTTGAGGAGACCCATCGCCTCACAGAAGAGAAACTAAGATCGTTTACAGAAACTTGGGATTATTTTTCTCAACCTGAGGAGATATTGTCTTCCCCTCACCCCTTCCCCCACCTCTACCCCTTCCCCTCACCTTCCCCTCCCCTCTCCTTTACCCACCCTCTCCCCTCCCCCCATCCCCACCCTCCTCCCTGCTCTTTCCACCAAGCATTTTACACATATACAAAGTGTGTGTGTGTGTGTGTATACCTGTATGTATGTCTGTGTCTGTCGGTATAAGAATGTTTGTATGCCTGATTGCGAGTGAAATTTTTAAGAACTGTAGACCAAGTCTGAATAAATAGCGTCATTGCCATAGTATACAAAATATATTGAACTATGACGAAAGCTGATGTTCGTTATAGAAATAATATATCACAGTATAGATCTATTAAACACCTTTTTATATATCACATCTAACAGTGATATATGTATATATTTTAATTTACCATAATGTTGTTAGGTTAGGTTAGGTTAGGTTAGGTTAGGTTAGGTTAGTTTAGTTTAGTTTAGTTTGTTAGGTTAGGTTATGAGAAGTCAAACATTCAATACACGTAAGGAACTATTTCCTTTTATCAATCATGGGACCAATAATGTAAGAGCTCGTACAGCAAGTGGGAAAATATTCATTGATGTTAGCTTTCGCGAATAGCTTCCAGTCAGCGTGTTAACAAGCGATTACTGAAAGCTACAAGTGTAATTACAGACTGGGTGTTACTTTTTCCTCTCGAGTTCAGTCATTGGATTTGAGTTGAGGGAATGTTTACCTGGAGATCAATTAGTGGGATCCCAAATGTCATTGTGAGGCGGTTGAGCTCATATAGTGTGACAGTGACGCAGAGGAAGTGTGTGAATGTGCTTAGGGTTAGGTTAGGTTAGGATTGAGGCAGGTTAGGTTAGGATTGAGGCAGGTTAGGTTAGGATTGAGGCAGGTTAGGTTAGGATTGAGGCAGGTTAGGTTAGGATTGAGGCAGGTTAGGTTAGGATTGAGGCAGGTTAGGTTAGGTTTGAGGCAGGTTAGGTTAGGATTGAGGCAGGTTAGGTTAGGATTGAGGCAGGTTAGGTTAGGATTGAGGCAGGTTAGGTTAGGATTGAGGCAGGTTAGGTTAGGATTGAGGCAGGTTAGGTTAGGTTAGTATTGGGACAGACACAATCAGATATTAATGTTGAAATCAAATTTGGATTATCTTTAATTTATAAATATCTTAAGATCTGGGAACAATAAGAGAAGATTTTACTCATATACAGGAAACACCGGGAGTTTATATTGGGTTAAATTTGATATAGAAACTTGTAGGATTTTACTTAGTTTTAAAATATGAGTTTCATTTTCTGCGTCAAATTGTCAAATCCTGCGAAGCCATTATTTTACCCAATCAATCAGTCAGTCAGTGAATGAATGAATGAATGAATGAGGCAGTCAATCAATCAATCAATTTAATGAATGAATGAGTCAATCAATCAATCAATCAATCAATCAATCAATCAATCTATCTATCTATCTATCTACACACGCACAAAATAGTTAATAAATAATAACATATATTCAGCAAATAAATAACGTCTTCCCGAACGATGAGACTGTTATGTTATTGCTCATAATTACCGACGTGATAGTACCCATTACAAACAGGTTATTCTTATCGTAATTACTATCAGGTAATTTGAACACCTGTGGATAACGAATACATCTTCAGAAGAGAAAATCAAATGTGTATTGATTAAAAGACTATTAAAAAAAATCATTTAATTTCTTACCTGTTAATTACCGTAGTTTTTGCCTTACAGTAGATGATTCAGTACACTGTTCTGATACGTAATGTTGGAAAGAAATGTAGTTACCTGCGTGTGTGTGTTTCTGAATATATCAGCTGTTTCTATCACACAGGAAATTTATAATATATATTTTAGAATTTTTTTCACACAGTATAAACCTGATTTGTCTTCAGAGCATAAAAAAAAGTAGCTTATTTCGTTCACTTTTGTTTTATTTTTCTTAATTTTTTTCCCAAGATATCAGTTTTAGTAATGTAATTATTGTTAAAAGTTGATAAGGTAATAGTATTTATTTTCACTTTATTTTATTGGGTGGCTCTATGCACTTAACACTACGAGTCTGTTATCTTCGACGATTACTGTGACCTTTTGAACCTTATTCGTAAATAGTAATCTTATCTTCTGATCACTTAATACATGGGATTTCTGGACGCGAGTGATTTTCTGGTATACAATAGTCGATATTATCAACGTGTTTGTCCACTTTCTTCAAACTTTTTCTTTTTCATGTAGATTTATCAATTTTATCTATTCATTAGTTTCATCCAATTGGCAGATATAGACTAGAATTGGTTGGTGTGTGTTCCAAGTTATAAAACCCGAGAATATTTTGCGGGTATCAAGTTTACATTCAAACACTTGTCCATAAGATAGTGCCAAGCCTTTGTTCCGTTTATTGTTGAAAGATGACAAAACAAAAATTCCCTTGAAAAACCACTGGGATCGATGCACCACCTGTTTTGTTTCGTGAAAATCTATCAATGAATAATTTGATCTCGTGGGCCTAAGGGTTTTTGGTTCCTGTAGCGAAGCATGGTGACCTTATGAACAGCTGGAGGTGAAATAACACACAACTTATCATCCCAATTCACCCTCTGATCATGAAATCATGATCAGGTAGTATTTAACCTGCAGAAGTAGCAGTAGGGGGGGTAGAGATGCGGTGTATGTGTGTGGTGGGAGGTGCGGAGGAGAGACGCGTGCTGTTGGGTGAAGGGACCGCGACACTGAGCGTTTCACGTCGCCCCGAACACTGGGTCCTCTCGCTCGCTCACACCTCGGCATTCCCACACTCACCTGCGCGCTCACCACCACTACACAAGCGCGTTAAATTCGCTCCCTCGCACTCTTTTTTTTTTCCCTATTTTTTGCTCTTTTTCTTGTTTTGATCACTTGTTTTGCTCCCAACACCCTTCCATTTGTTGACACAACCTTACCCTCTCTCGTATGTCAGTCTAATAGGTTTGCATTCTCAACACCACCGCTCCTTTAATTCGCTTCAATCTTTCGTTGTGTTGTCTAAACCTATTTCCTGCAATTGTCAATATTTTTCATCCACACTTAACTTCATACTTGTATAACACAAACTCCTCTACTGAACCTTATTTCTTATTTTTTTAGATCACCGCATTTACTGATTTAATTTTCATGATGTTTTTATTCTCAGCAAATAATTGTAATCTTAAGTTTAATCACCTGGAAAATACCTGGTTTTTCAATTAGTGGCTGAAAAACCTGGAAAATACCTGGATTTTGGTTATGTGTATAGGAAAAGTATCAAGACTTTTGCAAAATTAGTAATCTTGTTAAACCTCATCCAGACGAAAAGGTTTAATAATATTTTAAGTACGACAATAAATTAATGTTCTCAATAAGTTTACGGTTTGTTATATTACATAAACCGGAACTGTCATTTGTAAGCCATCACGTTTTTTAAGTAGTAATGTTGTTAAGCTTCTTCCTTCATCCGGCATTGTTAGGGGATAAAAAATATGTAATTCATACCATTATTAAGTTTAATCTCCTCTCAACTCATCATATGTATGTAGCTGTCTGTCTGTCTGTCTGTCTGAAAACGTATTTAAGAAAACCATCTCAAGCATCTGACGTCACAGGGTACCTTGGGTGGTGGTGGTGGTGGCGAAAGAGTCCAGATATACAGTAAAGTCATAAGGGCCACGAGATCCTAAGTCAAGGTGGAGGTAAACGACAAACATCACAGGAATTAAAACAGTGTAGAAATATTAGATAATTAAATGAAAGATCAGGTGTTAATACAGGTAATTGATATAACCTGATAACTTGTCAGTACAAACAAAATGTAAAGTAGAAGAATATTACATAAAAATTGTGTGTACATTTTTATGGAACTTATAAAAAAGAACATTGAGTGTTAAATAAGAGAGGAAATTAATATGTTATGTTAAAAAAAATGTTAGATATTATAGATTCACGTTAAGCTCTGTATTGTCATGACCAACCATTCTTTATTTCATTCCTCCCCCCCCAAAAAAATGCCTTCATGCGCTCCAATGGATGGTTTTAATTCGCCAGAAGTGAACGTTAACTTGTGAAAAAATAAAATTTTTTAATATCATTTACATCCTGTTATTCGTTCGTTAAAGGACGTTACTTTTTTCATTTCAAGTCAATTAAAATCATCATATTTCAGTCCCCTTACTTTTGCTAAATTCTCTTTCTGTCTTTCTTTCTTTTTTCTCCTATCCGTTCACAGTATTAGGTTAGGTTAGGTTAGGTTAGGTTAGGTTAGGATAGATTAGGTTAGGTTAAGATATGTCAAGATAGGATAAGATAGATAAGGTGAGGATAGGTTAGGGATCAATACTTAACTTCCTGTTGGAATATTAACTCACTCACTCTGCCTAACTTCGTCTGTTTATTGAACCAGTCCTCGTGCAGTCATTCAACACCTGAGCTACAGTATTTACAATTTACTTATTCATTCGTAAAGGAATTTAACTTCTGCCATTCCAGATATTACCTATATAAAGTTGTTAGCGTTCAAGCAAACTATATACTGTATATATAACGTGTGGGGGCATATACACTGGTCTTATAATTAAACCTAAATTCTGCGAACTATTATTTTTAAACGATGTATTTTATCAGTTAATAAGCCCATTGTATTCTTACATAATAGAATGCCATTTTCACAGCACCAAGTTAGTTTACCAGTATATAAGAGACGTGTCATTTTTATAAGATAACATCCATGTAAGTTTATACATTTTCCATAAATTAGTCCATATTTATTGCATCCTTGAATATATATATTTTTTGTATCAGGAATAATTATATCCAAGAAACAACACACACACACATTAGGGTCGTTGAGTATCAAGTTTATAAATCAGTTTGTAGTCACCAAAGGCTTTACCGGGGATTGACGTGGTAATAATAACAACAATGACAAGCCAATGTTGAAGGTAAGTAAATTCGGTTATCACTAAAGGGATTACAGCAGGACAGGCGGCAGAGTTTAGAATATCCAATTTAATCGAATTATCTAACCAATTTCAACTTGTAACCTCCTTGTTGACTCCCATCATGAAGCAGTGTTGTGTTAACCTCCCGAGCAACGCATTAGGATTTTTTTCATTTTATTTTTTATTTTTAGTTTTAGTTTTATCGAAATATTCGTGTCTTGGTACTTCAACATTAAGACAAAGTAACCTAACCTAACCTGAGCAACACATTTTGGTTTCTTTTCATTTTATATTTTAAGATTTTACTGAAATAGTCGTCGTCTGCTGCCTCGGTAATCCAACATAAGACAAAAATGTTTTATATATTTTACTTCATGTGGGCTACGTTGTCGTGTACTTGTAGACGACAGAAACTTATCATTAGTGTTGCAACAAGAAAGATGTCCTGCGGGTTTTTTTTTAGCACTCAGCCAAGTTTAGGTACAAGTGAAGACACGAAAAGTGTTTTTATAATTAAAGCCCAAAGGTTTCAAGTTTGTTATTAATTACATCTTCCCACGTCGAGGAATTGGTGAAATATGTAACAAGTTTCTGCAAATTAAATTGAAAAAATAAAAACTCCTTAAAATGGCTGACATTTCTGGGTGACTAATGACGTCACAAGAGGCACTGGCACTAATGACTAAAATGCTGATTTTAGTCAATCATTTGGTTTACATGATGCTGCAGCCTCAACTGTGGCAATACAGCCTTGTTGTACCACGAAGCATTTATGAACAGAATAATGTATCGGTCTGCTGCTTCCGATTCACGAGATCTGAATCCCTGGAGGTTCGTGGTTCAGGAGGAGAGGTGAACGGACTTCAGTAGTCTATTGTAAATTAAAAGCAGCTGTAGTAGTAGTAGTGGTGGTGGTAGTAATAGTAGTAGTAATAGTAGTAGTAGTAGCGCACCGTCACCAGTACTGGATCAAGCGGTGCAGTACACTATAGCAGTCAAAGACATAGAAATTCAGGGGACGAAAGTAGAGTCGAAATTCTTTGACACAGATCTTAACAGCATTTTAATCCGGGAGTCAGCGAGTAACATCAGTTCAACACTCCATGTTAACTTAATAAGCTAAAATGATTTCCTCCGGTGTTAATAATCTCTTCTAAGTCTTCCTCGCCTCGTATCGACAAGATCCTCAATGTCAAATATTTGAAATATCAGTGAAAGTTTATTTATTTCTTACACACTCCCTCACGTTCAGTCACCTTTGTTTATCCTTCAACACACCCATCACAGTTGGTCGTCCGGCAGTCTGTAAAATTGTTTTTTATCAATTTTGACTTTTTAAAACTAATAATTCAACTTTTTCCTGAGATCGTTCAAAAATTCCCCTCGGATCATCTTCCTCCAATATGTGTCAGGTATAGTGTCCGTCATCCAAGATGGCTGTCGTTAAAAAGCAAAAAAAAAAAAAAACAATAAACTTTATTCTTTGTTCAAGACTTGTGCTTCAGTTTTGCAGAGATTTGACAGGACTATATATCTTGGATGATCGCCGTCAGCGCTACAGTATGTCTGATGCCACTGGTTATGACCCCGGCTGACTATTTCTTGGGACTTGTTTTTATTGTTAGCCTTTTCCCTCCACTACCATCTGGTGGCTAATTGGGGGAAAACTTTTTTAATTCAAATTTTAAACGAATTTTACACTTGACATTTTACTTTAATTTATTTGTTCATCTTTATATTATTTTACTCATTTTATAAACAGATGACAAAATGAAGTAACACAGTTGACCTTAAGTTTACTTTAAAAACAAAATTCATAGGTTTCACTTATCCAGTTCAAGGTTAGGTTAGGTTATGTAAGCATAGGTTAGGTTAGGTTAGAAGAGCTGAAGGTTACGTGAGTTCAAGGTGCAATAAGTAGAGAGACTCCAAACTTTGAATGAAACTTAACACACTCCATCAGCTTCCACCCCAACAAGTAAACAGAATTAGATTACACATTATTTCTCTCTCGGACTTAACCATCTTCAAAAGATCCAAGTGTAATGTGGAGGGAAAAGTTTGTATAGAACTTAACTCAGCGTTACAATGTTGGCTTTTGGAACACATATTACCTGTGTGGGGGTGTGTTTGTGTGGGGGTGAGGTGTGTTTGTTTGTGTGTGTGTGGGGAGTGTGTTTGTGTGTGTGGGGGTGTGTGCTTGCTTGTGTGTGTGGGGTGTGTTTGTGTGTGTGGGGTGTGTTTTGTGTAAGGGGTGTGTTTGTGTGGGGTGTGTTTGTGTGGGTGTGTTGTGTGTGTGTGTGGGGTGTGTTTGTGTGGGGTGAGGTGTGTTTGTGTGTGGGTGGGGTGTGTTTGTGCGTGTGGGGGTGTGTTTGTGTGGGGGTGGGGTGTGTTTGTGTGTGGGTGGGGTGTGTTTGTGTGTGTGGGGTGTGTTTGTGTGGGGTGGGGTGTGTTTGTGTGGGGTGAGGTGTGTTTGTGCGTGTGGGGGTGTGTTTGTGTGTGTGGGGTGTGTTTGTGTGTGGGTGGGGTGTGTTTATGTGTGTGGGGGTGTGTTTGTGTGTGGGGGTGTGTGTTTGTGTGTGGGTGGGGTGTGTTTGTGTGTGGGTGAGGTGAGTTGGTGTGTGTGTGTGGGGGTGTGTTTGTGTGTGGGTGAGGTGAGTTTGTGTGTGTGTGGGGTGTGTTTATGTGTGGGGGTGTGTTTGTGCGTGTGGGGGTGTGTTTGTGTGTGGGTGGTGTGTTTATGTGTGTGGGGTGTGTTTGTGTGTGGGGTGTGTTTGTGTGTGGGTGAGATGTG